TGCCACTGGGAAGGGTCCCAGCAATCTCTGAGGATGCCTTCCCGTGCCCCCAGCCCCTGCCTCTCCCACATAATGCTTTGGAAAAGCTGTAAGGGATTAGTTTGGAGAGGCACGATAAAAAATAAATGACTTTGTTGTGCTTTTGGAACAAAATAATTCTTTAATAGCAGAATCCTTTTCAAAGTTAGCAGTTAAGAGTAAGCAGTACTTTAGGCAATCCAGGCATCTGCTGCAGGGACTTTCCCTCGTAATTAGTTAATGAGCTTGATGTACTTTTCCCATCTAATTACGACGCCGTCCTTTTAGCCTGGTTAGGTAAATTTTTAAGACATGTTAAAGACAGGTCCCCTCCTGGATGGGGGCTGAGGGAGGGGAGTGCCAGGCTGTGTGTGAGAGCTGAGCAGGATGTGACCAGATCTGTGTCCATCTCCAGCCTGCCCATCCTCCTCTCTGTGACCTGTGTCCATTCTGCCCATCCTCACCATGAGCTGTGCCCATCCTGCCTATCCTCCTCATGTGAGCCCAGGTAAAGGTGCTCAGGAGGGCCCCAAAGCAGGGCTGGGGGTGGGACAGCTCTTTTCCATCTCCCTGCAAACTTGTGAGTCTGCCTGCACAAGCAGGAGTGTGCACACGTGAACACCCCAGATCCAAAGAGAAGCAGCAGATCTCACCAAAAGCAGTGGCTTCCCCCAAACTCGAAAGAAAGAGCTGCTTTGAAAGACCTCTGAGGGCTGGGAGCTGCAGGCCTGCTGGTTGGTCAGGGCTGCAGGCTCAGAGTTTTCTCTGGCAGCAAATGAAAGCAGCCACAGCTCCAGTAGCTGGAAGCTGCCTGTGTGCTGGAGTGCCAAAACACAGGAGAGAGAATTGGGATAAGGATCCAAGAGTGCCAAAACACAAGAGAGAGAATTGGGATAAGGATCCAAGAGGGGCAGGGATGGAGCGCCAAAACACAGGAGAGAGAATTGGGAGCACAATCCAAGAGGGGCAAAACCCAGGAGAGAGCATTGGGATAGGGATCTGAGAGTGCCTAAACACAGGAGAGCATTGGGATAAGGATCCAAGAGGGGCAAAATCCAGGAGAGAGCACTTAGAGCAGGCTCAGGGACCTGCTGGCTCCTGTGCTGAGTTTGCACAGACACCAGAGCTACAGGAGGGACAGGCACTGGGACCAGAGCCCCTGGTGTGCCCAGCTTGGGGCAGAAACCCCTTTCCATGGCACAGGAGACAACATTCACAGACCTCCACGACCTCCCATCACTTTTACAGCTCCTCCCATGGCTAGAAACCATCTGCAAGCACAAGGCTCTCCTGGTGATGTGGGAGCAGCTCCTGCTCTTGCACAGAGCACCAGCCCCACATCAGGATGGAGGAGACTCAAAAAGCAGAGTGGCTGCTGCCTTCCACAGCCAGACTGAGCTGGTGGCCACCCTGGGATGTCTGTCAGCCTCTTTTCCCAGCTGACCCCATTTCCATACCTTCCCCCTTCATAGCTGGGCTCCAAAGCCTGGATATATTTCCTCCTGGCCTGCAAACGTGCTGATGGGATTTAAATATGAAAAGCATTGCTCTCTGTGCAAGTTAAACCTTTGGTTAAAAGTGCAGGATGTTAAGAGGTGCGGGATTTTTTTTTAGTCTCTTGTAAGGTCTTTTTCAGTGTTCCTTATGAGATGGTGTTGAAAGTCTCTGTAATATAATGATCCCACACGTGTATATGGAATATCTCTCCTCCCTTTATGCAGAGTTTTCCCAGCTAATTTCACAGTTTACTCCATTAAATCCTTGCCATCCTTTGCCACGAACTCTGGAGGTTTTGCTGCCACATGGTGCATGTGGCTGCTGCTTGTGTATCTGCCTGGAATTAATGTGGGCAGCCTTCATCTCCTGCAGCCTTTCTGCAAAGATCAATGGGCTTAATCCTTGGCTTCCAGGATCTATTGAGCTCTCTGCCTCTTGCCCTGTGGTCCAACTTTTCCTTGGCAGCCTTTGAGTAAAAGTTTCAGAGAATTACAGGCTGGTTTGGCTTGGGATGGACCTTAAAGATCATTTGTTCCACCGCCCATGCCATGTGCAGGGACATCTTCCACCAGAACAGATTGCCCAGAGTCCCATCCAGCCTGGCCTCGAATATTTCCAGGGATGGAACATGTTTGGGAAAATTCTAGTGATGGATTGACCTCCCTTCAGTTTTTTTGAAATGCCAGCTCTCAGAGACTCAGAGGACTGAAGCAGGAGGTGTCCCTGGGAGTGGCAGGACCCTTTTCTGAGCCACAGCCCCTGTGGCTGCCAAGGCTGGCCCTGCTGCTGGGCAGCTGCAATTGGGAATTATCCCACACCTTCACTACTGCCCATCCCCAGCCAGCTTTGGAGGAGTGGTGTTGCACACAGCTCCTTTTTTACCCCCAGAATTAGAGCAAGAGAAAAAGGGAGCAATTTTACAGCTCATGATTGTCTCCTCCAACCCTTGACTCAGATTTTGCTGCATGGGGCAGCCCCAGGCTTCATGCACAGCCCAGCTCTGTCAGGGCTGTTCTTCCCATTGTGTTCAGAGGGCCATAAATCCTGAAGGTGACCCTCAGCTGCCCTCTCCCTCAGCACCAGGCACCCCTGTCCCCTCTGGGGTGGCATTCCTTGGCTCAGGAGCCTTGGCACAAGGCAGGGACACGAGGGGACACTCGGTCAGGCTGCAGGCTCTGACACACACACAGCTTCCTCTGCCCAGCCCAAAATAAAAGAGATAAAGCAGGGATGGGAAGACAAAGAAAGAAAAGCCAGGCAGGAAAACAGCACGAGGAGAAGGTTCTGGCTATAAAGCACATTTTGAGCTTTCCCCTTAAGCTGCAGGCACAAGGCAAATTCCCTTCTTGCTGCCCAGACCTGGGACACCTGGCTGGTGGCACTGTCCCGGCTGCCACCTCGGTGTCCCCAGAGAGGGGCTGCCAGTCATTTGGGGGTGCTTTGAAGCAGGCACAAAGGAGCAAGTCATTTGAGACTTCCTGCCTGGTGGCCTGTATCAGCTTGTGAATCATCCCGACGCTCCCGCTTAATCCGCTTGTGGATCTTTGAAGCCTTTTCTGTCTCGCAAACAAATGATCAACTGCAACTTATTTTTAATCCATTAAAAGGTTCCAGATATTCCACCCTGTACAAAAAAAAAAAAAAAAAGAAAGAAGAAACAAACCACCAAAACAAAACACAACACCCAGCCTTGGAAGCTCAGGGAGGAGCGAGTTTTGTAAGTATTGACTCGGTCTCTGCTGAGCACAGCCAAATATTAGCATCAATTTGTGAGTTGCTCGCAAGGAAGAAATGTCAAAGGTTCAGCTTTTGCAGTGAGCTAATCCTGGCTATTAAAATACCAGGATCTCAAGGAAAGTAGCTACGAGATGGTGGCAAAATATCTTGGATAGAGAATTTTGTATGGTACACTTGATCCAAGGACCACGGAGTCAGGTCTGGCACTGGGAAAGAAATCCAGGGATTGTTGTCTTCATTTGCAGCTGGATATACCTGGAAGGACCCTGCTCTGCTCCCAGACATTTATATAACTACTCTCCCATTAAATTTGATGTGAATTAATTGATGCTTTCCATTCCTTCTTTCATGTTTTGCTCTGAACAAAAAAACCCCCTAAAATTACAAAATCCAGCTGAAACTTAATTAGAAACAACAAGTTCCATCTGGTCTCACATAAATCATGGCCAAAGTTGCCATTTTAAAGAACAGTTGTTTTTGTTGTTGTTGTTGTGTTTTAATGCTGAACTATAAATCAGCTGAAGACTGGGACCAGGTTTGCTCAAGGACGTTGAAAACTTGAGCAAAAGGTTTTGGGAACAGCTCAGCTGAGCTCTGGACCTGTAAGGATCCAAGAGAGCCCAGGATTTTGTACTGGACATTTCCCATCCCCTAAAGGGCTCTGAGAGAGATGGAGAGGGATTTTGGACAAGGGCCTGGAGTGACAGGACAAGGGGAATGGCTTCAGACTGACAGAGGGCAGGTTTGGATGGGATTTTGGGGAGAAATCCTTCCCTGGGAGGGTGGCAGAGGATGCCCAGAGCAGCTGTGGCTGCCCCTGGATCCCTGGAATGTCCAAGGCCAGGCTGGAGGGGGCTGGGAGCACCCTGGGACAGTGGGAGCTGTCCCTGCCCACTTGGACTAAATGACCTTTAAAGGTCCCATCCTATTCCATGTTTCTGTGTCCAGGCACTGGTGTAGGAGCAGCCCCAGGGCTCTGCCCTCCTCTGAGTCACCTGCTTTCTGATTGAACCCTCAGTTATGTTCCTCTGAGCGTGGTTTTAACCACACAGTGTAAAAATCCCTCCCATGGCACTGAGTTCTGGTTGTGTAAGCAAAGCAGATCTGTGTTTCACACCCTTCCCTGGCTGTGCTGGCACTGGGGAGGTGCAGGAGAGCTTCTCCTCCCCAGAGTCCCCAGCCTGGGCTGTGGTGCCAGTCTGGGTCTGTGAGCTGCAGGTGCCTGTGCTGCTGAAATATGGACTGGATGGTGAGAATACCATCCCTAAACCCAAAAGGTGTCTCCACAGCACTGTCCTGCTGTAAATAGCACAGCAGAGATCCTGCAGCATGGGTCTGGAAGAGGAACTGAGATTGCTCTGACACTGCTCTGGTGAGCAGTGAGGCTGAAAGTTGTGTCAAATCTGTGAGTTGTCTGAGTGAAAGGTGCTGCTGCCCTTGGGGGGCTGACTGGGCTATTTTTTGGTGTTTATTGAATCACTGCACATCTTTAAAACACAAATACTGATCAGCTGCTCCTGCTTCCTTTTTGGCTGAGTGGAGCTGAACATCCTCCTGTGATGTGTAAATGCTGAGTGACTGCCCTGATAGACACATTTCAGCTTCCTGGTGGCATTTCCTACCAGCCCTCCTCTCCCAGTGCATCTTCCCCAGAGCATACATTTACTGGGTTAATTCTCTTCAGTTCAGTGGGAGCCATTCCTTCTTCCAGCCCTGCTTCTGCCAGGCTTGCCATGGCAGTGTCTTTGCTTCTGTGAGTGACTGCAGGCACCCCAGGATCCCCTGGGATGGGATTCAGATGTGCAAATTTTGTTCTGAGCAGGAGTGGGGGGATTAGGATGGAGTTACTGGGAAGAGTGTGAGTCCTGTGTGGTGGTAGCACGAACAGAGCAAAACCCCAACCTCCTGCCACGGGAAAAGAGGGTGGGGGACACACAGATTGTCCATCCCATCTCTGTACAGGCCAGGTGTCCATCACACCAGTGGGGCTGGGACCCTCAAATCCTTCAGTGGGGTTGTCAGAGCCTGAGGAAGTGCTTCCAGTCAAGGCATTGCCATCTGTGCAGATTTCAGGTGTGAACTGGTGCATTTCTGCTGCAGCTTATTGGTAAACCCACAGCAATTACGAAAATCCATGGTAATTCACCCCAGAGGGTGGAAAATACTGTATTTTATATTATTTTTCATTTTTAAAAAGACAACTGGAATTACTGTTCTACTTTTGTCAAAGGAAGGCACCAGTCCAGTGTGGGGGAAATGCTTCAGCCTTGTCCCTTTCTGATATTTCCTTTTGCCTTTGGTCACAAAGAAAAAAGCAAATCAGCCTCTGCCCCTGCCACATCCTGCAGGAAGTTGCTCCCTGTGTGCAAACCTGTAGGGAAAGGGAATTAATTGTAGGTGATTTATATTTGGATCCAAAAGCTCTTTCAGTTGAGGGGGAATCGATCTGTAGGAGCATCTCCACTCCATTTTGCATTTGTTCCTGTTTTTCTGGGAGCTGGAGCTGAGGTCTGGGGTCTGGGCACTGGACTGTGAAGGGGCCCAAAATGTGGTGGGCAAAAGCCAAACTAGAGGAAAGTGATGGTTTGAAATCTCTCAGCTCAGAGAGATCTGTCCTTCTCCAAATGACAGTCTGGTGTGTGCTTTGGAAAACTCTGATTTTCTTATCCCGTGGGGACTGAAGGGTTTTCCTGCAGCACCTCCAGGAGTGAGAAATGGGCAGTGAGACCCTGGCACAGTCAGGGATCACTACAAAAATGTTGTGGTTATATGGCCAGTTGCTCTCTGTCCACCGTTTAACCTTCCAAAGTGATGAAAAAACACTTCAGACCCCTGAAAGCAGCACTGAATGTCCAGCATTGGCTCCAAAACCTTACAGGAATCACAGGGACTTTGATCTCCCATCACTCCACCCCCTTCTACTTTCTGTTGTTTAAGATTTACCAAACGTTCCATCTCCTCACATCAAAATTCACCTTTGTTTTGCTGCAGATAATCACCCAACAGTGATAATAACAATAAAATTCCTAGGAAATCTCCCTGTGGCAACAAGTAATTGACCCAAGAATTTTCACTACAAGGAATTTTTATTTTTTTTTTAATAACCACACAGCACTGGAGATGCTGGTCCGTCGGGGGATGCACCACTATTGTTCTCATCAGTCCTGATGCTTTGCCTTCACCCTTTGAGTTCTCTCAAAGGATTGAGATTATTTGGTTTCTTTGAAGAACAAAGGATAAAGAATTTTTTTTAGATGACTGGCTATTTTGATCTGCAAGGTCTGCACGCAGTGTGAGGGAACAAACATCACTAAATCATTAAGGGGAAAGGGAAGGGTATGCATAATGGAAAGAGAAACACAAAAGCCACTGAGTCCGGTGCTGAGCCTGGGCGTTGTTTCCAGCCCCACTGCTGTTCCTGCTCAGGGTTTGTTGCTTTTGCTTCTCTGGGCCTTGGTTTCTTTCTCTAATCGATCATTTGGCACCACAACACTCACAGCCACTTTGTCAGGTTTAGTTATCATTCCCAACGCCTTTGGAGAAATAAAGGGTGTTGAGGAGGATGTCTTATTTAAACAGCACCTGTTCTTGAAATGTAGGTTTAAAGTGTCCTGGAAGTGTCCATGAAAATCTTCTTTGCCTGCCTGGAAGGAGGATGCCAACCCTGGGTACCTCAGAGAGGACCTTGAACAAACCAAGGTGCCTCATTTTCCCCTGCAAGGATTTGGAGCTGTTTTGCAGCTCCACAGAAAAGGGAGATCCCCTGGAATCTGTGTGGCATAGGATGGAGCACAACCAAACCTCCCTTCAAATGTGCCTTTTCCATTTGGGGAGATAAGAAAATATAACATGTTCTGAGGAAATAGGATTACTCTGTAATTAAGCAAAAATCCTCCTATTCAGCATCACAATTTTTTTTCTTAAATTAAAGAGTGAATATTACCTGCTAATTAAGGGGTACACAGTATACAGTAATTTCATGATTATAAGCCGCACTGAGTATAAGCCGCACTTCCAGGTGATGGCAACTTTTCATCCTTTGTCCATACATAAGCTGCACCTGATTATAAGCCACACATTACAATACAGAGTGTGATAAAAGGTATCTATTCTATCACCATCTGTTGAGGGTGGGAGCAGTGAT